CAGACGCGCGGGGGAGAGCCGCGGCCTTGGGAAATGCCGTGGATGGATTCATGGATAGTAATAGCCGAACAACGGATGGACGGCAGTGGTAGTTGCGAGGATGAAGGGGGATAGATATACGCGGGGAAATGATCAAGAAAAAAAAGAATGACAACTTGAACAAGAGAATGAATGGTTTCAAGAGCACCAATGACGTTCTAAGCCAAGTTAAGCTACTCCCTGGATCACAGAAGCTTCGAGTTCTTCGGCTGAGAGAAGTTTCTCGGAAAAATGTGTGGCCGGACGATGATGAAAGAGTTGCTTACCGAAGCAATAACGGGGTGCTCCGACTACGGCATTCCAGCTTCCACTCGACCCATTTGTATCTAATACTTATTGCTGTCCCTTTGGAGCTGTGCCACGGGCTGTCACGGTTCTTCACTATATCCCTTTTTATCTCCTTCACTCCATTGCCCGGGCATCCACCTCATACTCAAGGAGCATGCTCCGCGGCCAAACCCTCCCCTGGAGAGCTGTACTCCATCAAACGCCACGACCTCTCCTCCGACGGCCGTTTCTTGCTTCACCGAGATATAATGCAACCTTCCGATCAACACTAAGTTCAGCCCGCCTGGGTGACTCTCTTCCCTCGTCTTCCCGCGCCTTCTCTGCGAGCTCCATTCGGCGGAGGGAGAAACCCCCGCCAGATGACTCTAAAGACGGATCGGAAGGGAAGGAAGAGCACGAAACCAGTCAGAATGATAAGGAAACGGAACGGGCCCCTGAATCGCGGAGGAAGGGAGCGGACTCAGGAAAGAAGGTCCCTTCCGCAGATCAGGTAGCTCCCGCGCGGAAAAAAGACCGATCATCCGATAAAGAGCGCGGAGTGGAAGAGGAAGTAAAGAAAGAAGCCAACGCATCAGATGGCAAGGGGAACTCGAATGACACACCTTCGCCCATCCCACCAAGTGATGGCGCGGCCGACTCCAAACCCAGCGGTGCAAGCAGCGGTGCAAGCAGCGGTGGTAATGGCGGCAATGACGATAGTGGGAAGAAGGGCAAGAAGGCCTCTGGGGAAAAGGCTTTGCAAAAGCCGGCAGTTCCGGACGTTTACCCACAGGTAATGGCAATTCCCATCGCGAAACGCCCTTTGTTCCCTGGTTTTTACAAAGCGATTACTATTCGCGATCCGAACGTCGCTGCCGCGATCCAGGATATGATGAAACGAGGTCAACCATATGTCGGAGCGTTTTTGTTCAAGGATGACAACGCCGATGGTGACGTGATTGAGAAATTGGACGATGTTTACGATACTGGAGTTTTCGCTCAAATTACCGCCGCATACCCTCTCCGTGGGGAGGCTAGCGGTGTGACAGCGGTTCTCTACCCCCACCGACGTATCAAGATCTCGTCGCTACTTCCTCCTGGAGAGAACACCAAGGGCGCTACACCTCCACCTGCACCTACGTCAGAAGATAAGACGGCTGAGAAGCGAGGCGATGTAGTGGCCAGCTTTGAAGAAAGCGCACCCGAGCCAGCTCCCAAAGACCATTACGAACCCACATCCTTCCTGAAGAAACACCCTGTCAGCCTTGTCAACGTGGAAAACTTGGCCGAAGAGCCGTTCGACAAGAAAAACCCAGTTATCCGCGCAGTAACCAGTGAAATTGTTAATGTGTGCAAAGAGATCGCCACCTTGAATCCTTTGTTCCGCGATCAAATCTCGGCATTTTACACAGATCAATTCCCAGGAAACCTTAGTGACGAACCAGCCAAATTGGCTGATTTCGCTGCCGCTGTATCTGCCGGTGAGCTCCACGAGATGCAAGAAGTTCTTGAGACAATGAACATCGAGGAGCGTCTCCCTAGGGCACTTGTCGTTCTAAAGAAGGAATTGATGAACGCCCAACTCCAGTCCAAGATCACCAAGGATGTCGAGGCTAAAATCCAGAAACGCCAGCGCGAGTACTGGCTGATGGAGCAAATGAAGGGCATCAAGAGAGAGCTTGGCATCGAGTCTGACGGGAAAGACAAGCTTGTCGAGAAGTTCAAGGAGAAGGCTGAAAAGCTTGCCATGCCTGAGGTTGTCAAGAAGGTCTTCGATGAGGAGATCAACAAGCTAGCACACCTCGAGCCTGCTGCATCCGAGTTCAATGTCACTCGTAACTACCTAGACTGGCTAACCCAAATCCCCTGGGGCCAGAAGAGCGTGGAAAACTTTGGCGTCAAGAACGCAGTCGGCGTCCTCGATGAGGATCATTACGGGCTGAAGGATGTCAAGGATCGTATTCTTGAGTTCATCGCTGTGGGCAAGCTTCGTGGAACCGTTGAAGGAAAGATTCTTTGCCTTGTTGGTCCACCCGGTGTTGGAAAGACTAGTATCGGCAAATCGATTGCTCGCGCTCTGAATAGACAATACTACCGGTTCTCTGTTGGTGGTTTGACCGACGTGGCAGAGATCAAGGGCCACCGACGAACCTACGTCGGTGCTCTCCCGGGACGCATTATCCAAGCTCTCAAGAAGTGTCAAACTGAAAACCCTCTAATCTTGATTGACGAGGTTGACAAAATTGGGCGTGGCCATCAGGGTGATCCGTCCTCTGCTTTGCTTGAACTCCTCGATCCCGAACAAAACAACTCGTTCTTAGACCACTACATGGATGTCCCTGTGGATCTTTCCAAGGTCCTTTTCGTCTGTACTGCTAACGTGACCGATACTATCCCTCGGCCATTGTTGGATCGTATGGAACTCATCGAATTGTCCGGCTACGTGGCAGATGAGAAGATGGCGATTGCTGAGAGATACCTCGCCCCCGCCGCTCGGGAGCTGACTGGCCTGAAGGATGTGGATGTGAACCTTGAACGGGATGCCATCGAGGAGCTGATCAAGTCGTACTGCCGTGAGAGCGGTGTCCGTAACTTGAAGAAGCAAATCGAAAAGGTCTACCGAAAGGCAGCATTCAAGATTGTCCAAGACCTCGGCGAGGATGTGATGTCCGAAGAGGCTGCTCTGACCGAAGCGGGCAAGGCTGCTCAGGTAGAGTCCAAGGAGCATGAGCCAGCTGATCCTGCGCAAGTTCCGATTGAGCCAGAGAAGTCAACCACGGAGATTCCTCGGCTGGCCCTCAAAGTCCCCGACACTGTGCATCTCAGCATCGGCAAGGGAACTTTGAAGGATTACGTTGGACCTCCTGTTTTCACCGCGGACCGCCTGTACGACAAGTTCCCTCCTGGTGTCACCATGGGTCTTGCATGGACCAGCATGGGCGGAGCTGCTCTGTACGTTGAATGTATTCTGGAGAATGCATTGAAGCACAACTCGCGCCCTGGGCTCGAAATCACCGGCAACCTGCAAAATGTCATGAAGGAGTCCACTCACATTGCGTATTCCTTCGCCAAGTCTGTTATGGCGCGGCAATTCCCTGAGAACCAATTCTTCGAAAAAGCCAAGGTTCACTTGCACTGCCCTGAAGGCGCTGTTCCAAAGGATGGTACGTGAAACTTCAATGCGTTGGTTAATATTATCACAAGTCAGCGGCTAACCATTCCAACAGGACCCTCTGCCGGTATCACTATGGCTAGCGCCTTGTTATCTTTGGCTCTCAACCACTCTCTTGAGCCAACCGTTGCCATGACCGGGGAGTTGACTGTGACTGGTAAGGTTCTGCGCATTGGAGGCTTGAGAGAGAAGACCGTGGCTGCTCGTCGGGCTGGTGCCACAAAGATCCTTTTCCCTGCAGACAACACATCTGACTGGCTTGAGCTACCTGAGGTGAGTCATAAATCCATCCATTTCTGGTGATTATCTTAGCTAACTGTTTTATCTAGAACATCAAGGAGGGTATCGAAGGCCACCCGGTGAACTGGTACTCCGAAGTGTTTGACCTTCTTTTCCCCAGTCTCGACCAGGAGGCTGCTCGCACCATCTGGCAAAAGGCATTGGCCAAGCCCAAGAAGGGTAGCGAGGAGGCTAATGAAGAGTAACATGGTGATACCTTTTTTTTAGTTTGGGGGTCCATTTTCGGTCCATGTCGTATATACCTGTTTGTGTTTTTACGTTGTATAGCTTTTTGTGTGATTTACTGTATACATGGCGTCTTTGTCTTCCGACACGGAATGCATGGTTGGAGTTGAAGGACTGTTAGTAGACCTTTTTGTTCCCATGTGAGATGTATGGACTAGAGCGAGAGCCAAAAAAAAAGATTACTCCACTCAAAACAGGAGGCGTTCTATAGTAAAGCACATTTGTATAGTAACTATAGTATATAGTGATATTGCCAATATTGCAGATAATGCAAAGATAATGCAAAGACTCACATGGATTGCCATATATCGAGTAATATCAAAATCTACTGCTGTCGTGTCATATAGATTGACGCCAAAATAAACAGGGCGTGAATGGAGCCCCCAATCAGGCATAAGGGTCAGGCCGCAACGCATCCTCGAATTTTGATCTGTGCGCCATTCGATGAATCATTATCTTTATTCTATTTTTTTCTCCCTCACCCTTGTGTCCCTTAGAAGGGCTTTTGATTGATCTCCTGCAAGGTCCTTTTGCCTCCAGACATTCGAAGCCTTGCAGCGGAAGCATCTCATCACCACTATCAAACGGCTGCAGGCGATTCCTTAGAGAAAAAAAAAATTTAGAGGGAGAAAAAAAAAAAAAAAACAAAACCACTTATATCTAAGAAATTTCATCTTGACCGACATCTTTCTTCCCCCTTTTGCACCCGCCTTTTTTTTATGAGCTTGTGCTGGGCCGGTCTCCCAGCCTCGTTCATTGCAGCCCGACGTTGTGCGACACTTGGACGTTGAACCTCGACGTGAACCTTCCAACTCTTCAACCTCGAAAGGAAAAAAAAAACACTACTTGGAACTGGTGGGACGAAAACCCGTGTCAGTGTGTCAGTGCGACGCCAAACTTCCCTGCCTCCTTGACCCTGTCTCAATTCTTATGGACATCGGAGATTCGGCCAGCGGGGTGTTCGAGTCGTTCCTTGCACGACAGAGCGGCTTGCCGTATGGCCATCTCTGTTCCCAACTCCTGTAGCCCGACGCGGCTGGCTTTTCTGGACGATAAAGGCGGAAATCCGCCAAAGCAGAGCATGTGGCACCGGTTGGGTTTGCGAAAACTATGGCAGGGCCGCGACGATCATCGAGACACGTCTGCCGGGGAGAGTCAAGATGAGATTTCTCCCCGTCCTTCTTCTGACAACTCCCGCAAACAAGACAACTTGACACGTCGACTCTCGCGAAAAGTCGGCGTTCTACCACGAACCACTCCCTTTAAGCGACAGAGCTCCGATCTCGAGCGACTGGCTCCTCGGGAACCCGATCACCGCCGTGCCCTCTCCGCCGACCGTCGCCCCTTAAGTTCCCAGAGAAGCAGGTCTCCACCGCCAACCGTGGGCCCCAGGCAGTCCGCGCCCGAGGTTCAGTGGCTCGGCCCGGCTCCCACAACCACGGTCGATGACGCCCCCGAACCAGAATTGGAAACGAACGATGTCCATGAGATTAACGATGTCTCCGAAAATTCGAACCCCTACCCCGAAATGACGACGGATAATTTCGACGCTCCAGAGGAGGAGGAGGAGGATGACCACACAATCGATCTGGATATGGAACTGGAACAACGGTGGATTTTGAATCTGAGCATGCATTTCCGAGACGGGTCAGAGCGGGAGAAATTCTTTGTGACGTACGCAGAGACACCGAACCGATGGCGCCGAGTGACGATTTCCTGCGATTACCACGATGCACCGCCATATTCACTGGAGCGGGAACTGAAGGAACTACGGTATCAACGAGACAAATGTGCACGGATCTACGAATCCATTCGCGAGTCCCTTCTTGCGATCCAATTCTATGAAGGTGTCACGAATCTCAGGCTCGAGACGAGCGATGGCCGTTTACACGTTCATGTGACGGAGGACGTAAACGAAACAATTCCGTACCCTCCCATCTCCAGCATCAGGCATTTGGTCAACGCTCCTATCATCCCCGAAGACTCGTTGCACTTCGAATCTCATTTATCCGGCTTTGTTTACAAAATAAACCTGGACGGACGTTTCTATATCAAGAAAGAAATACCTGGTCCCGACACCGTGGACGAGTTCCTCTACGAGATTAACGCTTTGCATGCGCTGAAAGACCGCCCAAGCGTGATCCAGGTGGAAGGAATTGTGATCGATGATTGGCGAGGCGTCGTCAAGGGCTTGCTAATTAGCTATGCAGAAAAGGGCGCACTGGTTGACATTCTGTACGAGCAACGCGGGAGGACGAGCTTTGCACGACGCGAGCGATGGGCAAAGCAGATTGTCCAGGGCCTCTGTGAGATCCATGAATCAGGCTACGTGCAGGGCGACTTCACACTCGCCAACATTGTGGTGGATGCGGACGACAACGCCAAAATCATTGACATCAACCGTAGAGGATGCCCAGTGGGGTGGGAACCCCCGGAAATTGCCGCTAAGATCGAGAGCAACCAGCGCATCTCCATGTATATTGGTGTCAAAACTGATCTTTTCCAACTGGGTATGACGCTGTGGGCATTGGCGATGGAGGAGGACGAACCTGAACGACAACCGCGACCTCTTCGACTAGGCGATGACGCGAAAATTCCAGACTATTACCGACGGATAGTGGATATTTGTTTAAGTCCAACTCCGCGACATAGGCTCTCTGCGAAGGATCTTCTCTCTATGTTTCCCCCACTGCCGGAAGCACGGGTATCGACACCTGTTCAGTCGCTGGAGACCATTACCAATGATTCTAGGCACTTGCCAATTAGCAACTGGGCTCAGCCTCAGCCTGCTGGGCTTGGACTAACATCGCCAATGGGTATGATACAACAAGATGATCATTATTATCCCCAAAAGGAGTTTTCGGGAGATTCTTATGGTGATCTGCAACACCCCATATTCTCTGAAAACCACGACCTCGTCAAGCGATCAACAATAACTCTCGCAGAATCCAATGGAAACACGGGATTCCCATCTAAGCCATCTTCTTCCTCTACATTGAATCACCACGAACCTCACAATCCTAACGAGTACATGGACTTTTCCAGCCATTTCAATGATGGCTCGTCACCCTGTCTACCCTCTGACAATCAGAAACCGGAAGCCACCCCAGTTTCTCAGACAAGGTCAATGGGCAATGGCTTCCACAACCACCCAGTGGAGCTACCAGCCCTCCCGAATAAGTCTGTCTATCTCGAAACTGCCCCCGTGGATAATCAGCAAGAGACATCTGATGAGCCGATCTATAATAATTCCCGAGCTTTCCTTGGCTCCACAGTCACCGCACCTCCACTCTCACCCCCAGTCAGCACATCTCTTGTAAAGTCGCAGAAACAGGAGGCTCTGAATCGACCAAGCCCAAGGGCAGTCAATGACGAAGGTGACCTTGAAACATCAGCTTTGCCCATCAACCCTACTTTGCGTGACTCTGGTACATCAGTTGGTCCTCGGGACATCCCATCTTCAATCAAGCATACAAAGAAAGACGGCGTGGATCAGCCATGTGCAAAGGCCACCAATGACAAGGATGATCTTGAATCCTCATCTTTGCCCCTCAGCCCTACTTTCCGTGATTCTGGGAGTTTTATTGGCCTTCAGAACGCCCCTCGATCGGTGAAAGCTTCCCCTATCGAGCCGCCAAAACAGAAGTGCGCAGATCTGTCGTGCGCAAACGTCGAAACCAACCCCTAAATTTACTGGGCCATCGCCCTCATCCTCATGTCTGTCTCTCTCGGAACTACCGATAAGCCCTACTTTCCGTTCTCCTGGAATCTCCATCGACGCTCCGGGTACCACTCCATCGCTGAACCCTTTGCCTGTTAAACCGTCGAGGCAGGATAACGTGGATCAACCACGTGCAAAGGCTACCACCTATATCAAACCCGTACCTACAACACCATCAGATGCAACATCTTCCCAACCTCTCCCGGCATCACCTATCAATCCTACTCTAGCTCACCCTGGACCTTCACCCCAGCTTCCGAGCGCCCCGCAATCAGTGAAATCATCTCCTATCCAGCTACCAAAGCAGACTGATTCAACTTCACCATTCGCAAACACCGATATTAAACCCAAGTATACTAAGCCATCACCCTCAACATCAAGTCTGGCCCGTTCGGGATTGCCTATCAGCCCAACCTTCCGTTCTTCCGAGACTTCCATCAACACTCTAAGTGCCCCTTCACCACAGGGTCCTTCTCCTACTGAACCACCAAAGCCGGAGCGGGCGATTATGCCACGCGATAACGACCTCACACCCACATCTCCGTCAACACCGTCTCGATTCTCTTCAATGCACATTTCGAGCCTTCGTCACACCGGGGCTTCCATTGGCTCTCTAGGTACGCCATTCGCAACAAGTCCATCTGTCGTTGGAATTGGACTGTTAAGGCGGCCTTGGGAAAAGCCATCTGCAAACAGCTCAGATGTCAAATCCGCATCGACGATGTCATCAGGGTCAGCCTCATCCCTCGGAAACTCTCAGACTTCAAGGAAGCCAGAGAGTCCCATTTCACCACTCAAAACATACCCCCTCGAAGCCCAGAAGAACGAACTTTTAGACCAGTCCAAACAAAAGACGGCCGATATCAAACCTGCACTAACAAATCCACTGAACCCCACCTCAAATTTGCTGGGTTCAAAGTTGCCCATCAGCCCTGCTCATCCAAATTCAAAGCCCAGTTCCACTTATACCGAGGTTGAGATGGCACGAGCTGTACAGGGCCCATCTTCAAATCAGGCCAAACCGAGCAGTTCGAGCCAGACACGTTTTCCCTCGAATTGAATCTAGTCACCAATCCATCCTCCACGAACAACTTCGTGAAGCCCTACATGGGGCACATTCACACCTCGAACCAACGCAAGGTCACTAATATTTTTACCAAAACAATCTTGCTAAATTGGCCGCCCACCCACGACGCCACGAACCCATCTCTCCGAACGAGCCCCATATTCGGGGCCGAGCACACTCGATACCCTTTTGATTTGCTCTGCTTGTACAGTTTATGCCTCGTCGTTTGCCTCGTGTTATTCAGCTTTTGGAAGCATTTATACCGATGGCGGGCGAAACCCTGGAGTCCTAAAAAGTCCTTTTTTTCTTCTTTTTTTTCTTTTTTCTTTGCATTTTGGCGGATTTTAATTGGTTTTTGTTCTGGTAGCTTTTCCTTTGTTTTCCCTATCTCCTTTGTGATGCCCTTTTCTTGTTCTCTTGTTGTCTATTCTATGATTTATCTGTTTTCTCTCAGCGGAGGCCCTCGTTCTGCGTTCTGGTGTTCTCACCCGGAAGTCGATGTATATTGATGGGAATTTTTTTATACTTCTTCTTGTCTGACAGGGCTGTATTATTTTTTTTTCTTTTTTTTTTTCTGGTTATTTGGCAATGCAATTTTTGGCTAGCAGTGGCTTTCGCATTCTAACCGTAAATAGGCCCTGGTGTCTCCTTTCATGGAGAAATGACTTCTTTATGTTTAATCATAGACAATGGATTCCTCCTCATTTGGTAACCAAACAAGATTCAAAACTCTCCCGCCAAGGTTCTACACTTGATCCTAGTCCTCGTCCAATCAGCACAATCTTGCACTCGAGTGGTTTAGACTTGTCCTCTGTGTCTATGGGCTCCGCGTCTCGAATCTCGAATACATCCCGCACGGCTTGAATGATCCTGCTTGTCCCGTCATTCAGGATCAGTATACCCTTTAGCCGATGAACCTCGAAGTCTACAGGGTGTGGCTCGGATGAGACTGATTTCGTGGGCGCAGGGAATGTTGTATCCCATAAAACAGAGCGCAGCCAGGCATCCACGCAGTTGACCTTATCTGCCGGAATTGGAGGCGTAACGATCGCAGTGGTAGAAATTGCCTAGTAATAGTTAGAATCACGACAGCATGCCCTTCCTTGTTTGGAACAAGCAGGAAACAGAAGACTATATAAACATACCGGATCCATATGGCTATGTCCCTTCTTACTGAAGTCCAAATCCGCCAAGTGATCGTAAGCATGCAAATCTAGCACAACACCCTCAATCTGCGGCGTCCGACTATGATCCGTCACATGAATCTTAGCCACGCTGTTGATAGAGGCAACACGATCTCGCACAGCCTGCAGCTCTTGCTCCGTAACCAGATCCGTTTTGTTGAGGATCACCACATCTGCATGCGAGATCTGCATATGCGCCATAGACAGAACAGGGCCAGAACCGTGGTCGTGGTTCACGTCATGCGACTCGGCCTTCTCTTCAGGGGCCGGTTCGTCCAGCAATCGCGTGATGTTCTTTGCGTCGACGAGAGTGACAATTCCATCTAGGTAGATAGAGCTACCGAGCCCTTCGTCCATCCAGAAGATCGGGGCGATATTGCCTGGGTCGGCTAGACCGGTTGTCTCTAGAAGGATATAATCGAAGGTGCCGCGGCGTTCCATTAATGACTCAATGGCCATCACGCCTGTGTCTTTCACGGAGCAACAGATGCAGCCATTGCCGACTTCCATCCATTCGGTCACTTCTTGGCCGCCTTGATTTACTGTCATTGGTTTTTCAATGTCCATTGCTTTGTGATATAATGTTAGAATGTAATTTTTAGTCCATTTTGTTTGGACACCTTACAGTCACCAAATTCTGCAACCGTATTAGCGATGCATATCATATCACACAGTCAGGTGTAATAGACGAACCATTCATGATCACGGCAATTTTCTTGCCGTGTTTTTCTGTCAGGATATAGTTCAACAAGGTCGTTTTCCCCGCTCCCAGGTACCCTAATCAGTGTATCAGTCTCATGTTATGACTTAGCTCAATGTGCACTCTATTTCAATCATACCAGTAACCAGTGTTATGGGCACTCGCGCTGTTGGTTCTTCATCTACCGGTGCTTGATCTGCTGGCATTGCAGACACATCGATAAGATCCGGAGGAGCATCCTCATCTTCAAAATTGGCAGACATACTCTCTGTGTTATTTGAATGTTGTGTAAATATTAGAGAAGAACAACAAGAGTCCGAGGAAACAGAAAGCTCGTAGATGCGGTGGATGACGTTGTTTCCCAAAATAGACTTTAGGGCACAGGGCTCGGGCGGTCAGCCGTTGTTATGTTGATGGTTGTTATCTTCAGCGTCTTGCTTGCTCCCAACACTCAACCTTTGCTTTCATTAACACGATTTAACAGGGCGTTTAGGAGCCATTCACTCTTTTATTTATTTCTCGGTTTTCTCGTTTCAACACGCGCCCTCGTTACGATACCATCATGACTGCTGCGGGAGTCTCTCCGTCAAGCTCCCCGCGGCTTCCCAGTCCTCCTCCGTTTACTGAGGTTCAAATTGGGCCTCAGTCGCCATCGGTTGGCGAATCTTTTGGCAATGATGCAGACCTGATTGGTGGTGCGATAGGAGAAAACGATGGCTCGACGCGCAGAATCCGGCCAGGGACCAAATCCGCCAACATGGGCCTGCCGGCGATTCCCTTAGAGCAGGTTAGTTGCTTCCAGCTACGTGCTTTAGACATTACTGACAAATTCAGATAAATTCTCCATTCCAGCTCCAGGAACACCTCAAAGCCCAGTACCATAGGCTTGCGCCCGGGTACACTGAACTTATGGATAAGTACGATCTGCTTATGGAGAAGTACGATGTGCTTATTTGGGAGTACAATGAACTGAAGCGCAAATCATCTGACAAGGCGGACCCTAAGTACGATGTGCTTATGGAGGAGTACAATGCGCTTTTGGAGGAGTACAATAAGCAGAACCCCGATGAATTCGACACGGTGGACCGGACAAGCGAGGTTGCGGAAGAGCCGATAGAACCCTCAGAGATCAAGGTTGCTAAAGAGCCGAGAAAACCTGCGAGCGAGGTTGCGAATGAGCTGACCAGACCCCCGAATGGGTTCGAGGAAATTGGTTGGAAATACGAACTGTGCCGCTTCTTCACTCTAGAAGTTAATCGCCTGGTCGAGGGCTTTTTTGCTGAGACCCCGCCATGCTCGTCGCAAACTTGTCCCGAGATGCGAGTCAACGATTGGCAGTATATTTGCGCGGGCGCGGGACACGATAGAGCCAAATATTGCTGCGCTATTGACTATTGCTGCCATACTCTGGATTGGGCCATGAACATTCTCACCTCGGAAACTTTCGACAAACGACTTGTATTGCCAAGTCATGACAAAATCAAGAAACCTTTGGAAGATATCTTCCGCCGCCTCTACCGTTTCTTCGCACACGCGTGGTTTCGGCACCCTATTGTGTTTTCAAAGGTAGAAAGGAATGGCGGTCTGTACGTCTTTTTCAAGACCGTTTGCGTTCACTACAACCTTGTCGCAGACTACACGATCCCTCTTAGGGCCGGAGGACCCGATGAAGTCGCAGCAGCCAAGAAAAGGAAGGAGGAAGCCGAGGGAAAAGCACCCAAGGAAAAACCTGTCAACAGCAACCGCTTCACTATTCTACGCAAGGAAGGTGAAAATCCATTCGGTACCGCCGCGGAAAGTCAGGAGCCGGCGCTCGTCACTAGCGCGACCACCCGTCGCCACAAACACAGTCCTTCAATGGGATCGCGCGTTACACCTATCGCGGAGGATGCGGAGGATTTGGAAGAGGTTACGCCATCGCCATTGCGTGAGCCCCTGGAGCAGTCACCCGAACCGCGGCCTGTTTCCGTTTTGGAAATTCGGACTAGAGAGCAACCTACTGTCGCGGATGAGCCACCTACCGATGTGGGAAACCCCTCTGAAGAGCCAGTTGAGGAATCCCAGGAACAGCCACCGCAAAAACACTATGGGCAGCTATCTGAAAATCCTGAAGACCAGGAAAAGATTGAACAAGTTGGGCAGGCTAAGGGACCCTTCTCCGAGGAGTCAGCTACAAACTCAGAATCGCCCATCGAGGAGCATGCTACGAAAGATGATGAAAATACAACTTCCTACGAAGAGGCAACTCCTGCTGAAAAGCCCGAGGCAGAGACTGAAGTGTTACAAGAGCCTTCCGTTGCCTCTGGAACTAAGGACGAGCCAGAGAAAAAGGAGTCTTGACATCAACACCCTCTCGAGCCTTTCACGCCAATCTCACACTGATGATAATTGACCGTTTGTATGTATTCTTTATATCTCCCTTTTTTTTTTTTTGTTACCCTTGCGATCAAGGATGAGTCGCAATTCTTTAGTTACCAGATATTTTTTTTGTAATATAGTTCATTCAGGATATTGTTTATGGCCAATGTCAATGATACCCATTTTCCTGTCCTTTCTCGATATATTCATGGTTTAAATACTTCACAAATAGCTAATTTCTTTATTCTTTAAGGCTAGATAGCTAATAAGATCCTACCCTCTTGCTCTACTAGACTTCTAGAGCTTTGGGAGCGAATTAGTAGCATGGTAGGTGGTTAAATAAACTAAGTGCTACGCCACTCGTTTAGCGATTAACCCCAGCACGGAAACATGTCCATTGGGTTGATATCGCTCTCATCCCGGACAAAGGACTGCCAGCATGGATCTGGGTAGACCCGCCAAGAGATGTTGGGGCCATCCATGGATGATAGCTAACGCCTGCCACTCCAGCCAAGATCGCCTCCGGAGGGTCTAGCGGTTTAGCGGATCCTCTCCGGCGAGAGAGATCGAACGATATCGACTCCAGGAGCGGAAGGCGTGGCGATCCCAGGGCCTACGGATGTACGAATCGGGCCCAGTTCCATCTACATACACGAGTGCGCCCATAGTGCATATAGGAGGAGGCCTGATTGGACCACGCGCGGGCGTGCATTTCCAACTTCGCCCTTCGAGCCTCACACTGCCTTCCACCTCTCCTGTGAACGCCGTCTATATAATGTCCCCCACGAGAAAATCCCCAGAGGATCTCTACAACTAATGTCATCCCCGCTCCTGTGGAAGGAATCTTCAACAGCGTCTGTCATTTAAAGGAGGGGCCTCCACCACTCCAGATCCTCCGGTCTTATCTTACAAAACATTCTACAGCGATGTTGCGCCATGCGCCTGATGGAGCAGACTCCAGCGCGACCTCGATGGTGGACCGAAGCGACGACCATCACAGAGCGCACTCTTCCGCCATCACCAAGAAAGAACGCGCGTCGCAAATCGACGACCTTGGCTTTGTCCAAGCATAAGCCAAGCTAGGTTTGATACCTCAAAGTACCTGAGATCGGGGTCTAGTACTAGAGGCTTAAAGCAGCGGAAGGATGTGATATACAAGCTCATTTGTAACTCGTCTCGACTCGTCGAAGTTGTCATCCATGGATGTCCTGCTATTGGCTTAGTAGCCAGTCTTAAATATCTCCCTTCGCTCGCAGATGCTTGAAGTAATACATGGTCATGGAAATCTTCTCCTTTCTTCTACTTTAAGTACCACAACAGCAAGTTCTTGATAAGACCGGCAACGCAATGTCCGTAGTACAAAACACAAAATATGTAGCTCCATCAATCATGGGCTAACTACCTAGGCAAGGCAGAAGTGACAAACTTTTCCTGTACCTCAATCCATAATAACGATAGATCACCTCTATCCGGAAGTTTCAAGCCTTTTCGTCCCCAGAATCCGCTCCCTTCAACTTCGTTTTCTACAAAATCAGTTGATTAGTTCACATAATTGCATCCAAGTACCCCAAAAGGAATGAAGCTTACCCCCAAAGACGGCGTAAGAACAAAACTCAATATCCCAGCCACCAAAAAGAACAACCACACATTGCTCATCGCATCTGTGATTTGCGGCGCTACTAGCGCTCGATCCGACTCCGACAGCGCCTTATACGTCTGGCTACTAGTACCAGCAACAAGGTTGGAGATATCGGCCGCACTCAGCTTGGGAATCACCTGCGACACTTTTTGCAATGCAATATTCTGATAAATTGATCCACACATTGCGAGGAAGATGACCATGCCGAGGTCTTGGGCTATATGTGTAGAAATTATGGTTAGTGTATCTGGTATTTAGATTTAACAGGACCATATTAGTGTCTGAAACTCTCTTACAGATAGCCATTACGCCCACGGCATTCGAGATATCTCTTGGAGCAACAAGAGATTGTACAACGGGGAACCCGGCGACGACGTAGCAGCCTGCTCCGGAGCCGACAAGAATGGAGTAGCCGTAGATCCTGGCGTTGGAGGTGTGAATATCTGCAGTGTCTATATTTTTTTCCTTCTCATTAGTGGTCATTCTATCTGCGCGTTATGTTGCAAAACAAATAACAAAGGAGGGAGACGAACACATCAAGGCCGTTCCAGCAACGACGAGGGTACTACCGAAGATATGCCATGGCAGGATATAAGGTAACTTCGGCATCAATGCCCCATTTGCCATGGCGAAAATGACCATGGAGATGATGAAGGGAAGCAGGCGAACTCCTGCATCCAAGGGACCGTCTCCCTATCCAAGAGCATACTGTCAGTTATATATACCCACGGGAATAAGTACGCGCCACATACCCGTGAGAACTGAAAGAACAACGGAATATAGTAAGTCATTGCCTAGGCACCATTGTTAGTATTCGATAGTCCTATTTATTGATACGACAGGGAACAACACACCAGCACAATACCCGATACCAAGAACATCTGAACTTGCAGATTTACCAAGATAGGCCGGCGGAGGAAATGGGCTGGATAGAGCCGATGCTCCTTCTCCACGCCTGGATGTAACTTCGCCACAACAGTACAGACAAGTAGGAGCACCCCCGCTACAATCCAGAGGGCAATTTCACTCCCGGAGCTCCAGGAATACAACGTGCCACCGAACGTAATCGCCATCACCAGACAGGTAGCTCCTGCAAGGAAAGTAGTCGTCATCACCCAGTCTATCATACGGCACTTTTCTGCCCAGATTTTGAGCGGCTGGGGGTTCACGCTTGGGATAAGGAAGAGGTAGGCGGGGGCGAAGGCGGCTCCAATCGGGAGGTTTATATAAAACGCCTAGAATACGGATATGTTAAAGATGGCTCCAAAAGGAAAGCGTCAGACGGTATGAGAACGTACCCATCGCCAGGTCGCAGAACTATCTGCAAAAGCGCCGCCGACCTATCCATCAACCGCCATGGTCAGTCATGCTGTAGAAAAGAAAAAGGCAAGTGATGAACTGAACTTACCACCGGACCTAGAACACTTCCGATTCCCCAGATAACAGTGCTGCCAGCCATATAAATAGGTCTCTCTTTGAGCGAAGTCAACATCGCCACAAAACTCAACGTCCCCGAGTACATCCCCGATCCTCCCACGCCGGCGATGACACGACCAACCACGAGGGCAGTCATATTCGGTGCTGCGCCACACACAGCGCTTCCAATTTCAAACAGCGCGATATTAAACAGATAGACATGTTTGGCGTTGAACACTCCATAGACCTTGCCCCATGGCAAAACACACATGGTACCGAGAGCAAAGCCGACTCCGATCCATGGGAGGAGGGAGACTTCGCCGAATAGGTCGAGAATCACGGGTTGGATGTCGGCGACCTATACCATTATTATATGCTGTTAGCTAATTCCATTTGGACGGGTCTAGTATGGGAAGCTGGTGGGAGAAGTATGAGGACGCACGATGGTGTTGTCCAATGCGAAGAGAAATGTTGTCGAGATCATGGAGGCGTATGCAATGGCCCACTGCATGTCAATTAGCTGCCAATTTTACTCCACAAAGAGTAATAGAGCGATACAGTACCTTCCATCCATGAATTGGACGAGGCGATGTCTCCTTAGGGACATCATTCTCGCTAGAGTCGGTGCTCGCAAGGATACCATTGCTACCTTGATTTTCTGGGTCCGCATCCATAGCAGGCATGATGAAAGGGGAGTAAGTATTACAGATTGTTTATACTATGCGAGAATTCAGGAAAGAACCATTGACGGGGGCGTTGCTGCTTCTATGGGTTGATTTTATATAGAATGCCCAAAGGGGCAGTTAGGGCTCCGAGCGGCCGCTCCAACTCCGTGCCTTGGCGCCTCGGTGGCCGCCCCAAGTCCGTATAAGCTCACCCTTACGCGTCACTCTTTGTTGTGATGTCCATTCGCCTTCTTCGACGTCACCATCCTCACCTCTGACTTGTGAGCTGTCATTCCCTCAGGAATCCGTCGCGAATGGGCGCGCAGATACTCCTGAAGGAGCCCCCGATAGTCCTGCGGCCGGTACGGGACGAACCACTCCTCAAAAACAGTATTTTTCCGACGGGGATTTAGACCAAGATCTCTCATGAGAATGTCTAGGTACTAAGCCATGCAAGCAATCCCTGTCAGCATTTGCATATCAATAGTCTGGTACCAACCACTTATGCGGTAACGGGTGGCCATCTCACCGAGATATAATCGTAAATAAGATACGAGCGGTTCTTCCCCAGTTCAATATATCGCTTGCTTCCGAGTCCATTCATTGAATGTCGCTGTCTCTAACTCCATCGCCCCCTGCCCAGGGACATTCATCCAGTTGTTCAGAAATGCAAACTCCCACAATGCTAAGAGTTCCACTGCCAGTAGTGTGAAGGCAGCGGAGCTCTAAGCATAGCACGACCAATGATAAGGGAAGTTGAATTGGGTGCAGCACCACAAACCACAAACAAACTGCAGACCCGACCTCAAATAGAACAATGGCGGCCAGAAATACCCATTTCATAGGGAACAATTTGTAGAGCGTCCCAACCATCGACTGGAAAACATAGGTGGTGAGAAGATAGGCAGAGGCATACCAGCCCACTGCATCCAATTCTATGAAACACGAGCATGTAACAATCTAGCTACAGGGTACTTGAGGGGCAAGAAAAGAAAAGATGATCTGCTAGCAAGTGGTGTCTTCTCTCGGCCTAACATGAACCAGTCATGAAAACCACACATTGACACAACTTTACCTGTAAGGTTATTTTGTGGATATCTGACACATGGGGCTTTCTAGAAAACTCAATTTTCGATAGAATTTTCGATAGGCTCGGGACTAAGGCGAGGCTACGACCTCGGGAGGGGTGAAGGTGTGGGGGGTGGCTTTGTGGCTACGAGTTAAAGTCAGTTTAAATTAAACTACGCGGTTCTTAAATTCTCTTTTTCCCATGCAAAACTCGGTGTGCGACTATGGATTCTTGACAGAAACACCTGGGCACCTTGATATCTTTAGGGATTCGGGGTTCGTATCGGGCTGTCAATAGTTTACACTTCAAGATATTAGGAGAGGGAGCGATCCCCAATATGTGCAGATCTGGAGATACGCCACCAGCTATAATTTTCGTTCATGTACGACAATATAAAACATAGTTATTTAATACGCGTGTATCTAATTAGGGGCTCATTTCTCTCTAGACACGATTTAAAGATGCACTCTGTGACTTATGCGAGCATGGTGGAAACTATTGAAGTTTGTTTCTCCACCCCGAATTCCAACCAGGTCTGACAGAGAATTTCAACCTTTTAATATAAGTTACACTCTCACCTTGTTTCTCGCAATTTGGTCAATCTCCTTGAATCTTACAACTTATTCAAACATGTCATGGCCTCGATCGCAGCTTTCGGAATTTGGTGATCAAACATGGTGCCCCTCATGGTTTCATCAGCATGAACAATTCTGTCTCACTCAACTATGGAATCTTAGAATTCCGGGGTGGAGTCGCGGAAGTCCTGCGACACAGGCTTGTGCAGTGATCAAGGAGCATCTAAGAGATCTTTCATCATTCACGGTTCTGGATATCTGCGCCGGTGCTGGTGGGCCTGCTCCAGTCCTCGAATCGGAGCTTAATAAAGAGAGAAAGGATCCCGTTCAGTTTGTTTTGAGCGATCTCTATCCCCATATTAAAGAGTGGGAGAGGATCTCGAAGAAACATAAAAACGTGACATATATCGGGACCCCCGTCGACGCTCGAGCGGTTCCCCGATTTGCAGCGACCTCGAAGAAAGAGTGTCGAATTTTCAATCTTTGTTTCCACCATTTCGACGATAAAGATGCAGCGGGAATTCTGAAGAATGCAATTGAGTCCGCCGACTCATTTATGTCAGTTGCCTTTTTACCCTAAGGTTCAGTATTCACGAAGCTAATCTGATTGCTTTTCTCTTTAGCGTATTCGAAATCGGAGCACGAGACGTTTGGACTTGCCTATGCTCGCTTATCATGTTCTTTTGGACTTTCTTGGTAACTCTTATTTGGTACTGGAACTCGCCTATTCATCTATTTTATACGTTTATCTTACCTGTGGCACCTCTGGCGATTGGGATCGATGGGTTCATCTCCTGCCTCCGAACCCGCACAGCAAAGGAAACCTGGCAACTGCTGGATCAGCCAAGCCTTGACCTCACCAACTGGACCTTCCACAGCGGGCGAAAAGTTGTTTTGTTTCCTTTTATCACTTTGTATTACTATGCTGGTGTCAAATCAGAATAGAAACTCTCCTTGATTGCGATCTGTCCAAATAGTATATACTCCTGGCCTCGGTCAGGTACTCATGGTGATTTGAGAGACCTACAAATCCCCTACATCTCCCTGTTACAGGGGCTTCTGCAAGGAATCGTATGCGTTATTCGTGACAACCCGTATATGGCAAAGGTGTGGGGATTTGAGGCAGTATAAACCCCGATCAATGGGTGGTAATGGGTGTCTGATCTGTGAATGGGATAAATAAGACATGTCTTGAAGAACACCCGATCTCCAACTTTGTCAAAGTTACGTCCACTCCGAAACCAAATCCCCCCCCTAAAACTGGGTACCACCAAAGCGGATGATCTTGATATCTGATAAGTGCTTATCGACATATCGCCCGACATCACCGGAAAACCACCGGAACTTCCCTAATTCACCACAATATCCCATATCCAACACCCGAAATGTCACCTCTTAAAGCCGCCACGACGCCAATCTATTTTGGCTCCTTCATTGTTACACCACAGGTAAATCTCTCATAACCATAAAAACCCCCAGTCTCCTCAACCAAAACCAACCAGTGGTCATTACAGCACAGAAGCAGTCATAGACACAAACAAACACAACGATTAACATGACTAACCCTAGCACACCAACACCTGGGCATAACTAACAACTTACTTCCAAACCTCAGGTGTTCTACACAACCCCCCCTAACCTTCGCCCTGGTAAACCTGAAACCCATCCTCCCGGGCCACGTCCTAGTCTCCCCACGTCGCGTCGTCCCACGCGTCACAGACCTCACCCCCGCCGAAACAAGCGACCTCTTCCTAACAGTGCGACGTGTGGGCCGCATGGTCGAGCGCGTATACGGTGCCACGAGCTTGAACATCGCCATTCAGGACGGCGTGCACGCCGGCCAGAGCGTGCCACATGTCCATGCGCATATCATTCCGCGCAAGGCGGCTGATCTGGATCATGCCGGTGGCACAGATGCGATTTATGACTTGCTTGATGGGGATGAGGGAGATTTAGGGAGGGTGTTTAAGAACACCGTTCCTACGGAAGAGGGGAGTCAGTCAGCCGAAATTGGAAATGGAAATGCTGTGGATTCAGGGAGGAGGTCTAGGTTCCCGGTTGTGGATAATGAGGCACGCAAGCCTCGTGGTGAAGAGGATATGAGGGCCGAGGCTGAGATGTTGGCGCTGGAGATGGAGAATGTGCCTCTTGATTAATTGGGTCTGTGTCTTGGGTATGAAGGTCCAGGGCAATTGTATACGTATGATTCTAATAGAGAGCAGATATGACAGTCCACCAGTAAGGGAGATGCTTGAAGAAGTCCTGGACGGCCCTGCTGCTCGGGTCATTGGTGACCTGTTAATAGATCAGGAAGGGGACATTGTCCTACACCACGATATCGTGCATATCTGAGAAGACGTTTCGAAAAGCCATTCCGGAGTGATTTATTCCTGAACACTGGCCAAATTCCCTCCAATTCTCGGGAAGGAGGACATTGATCAATTTATCTTGTCAATCACCAAACACTAAGTTGCAAGCGGGAGGTCACAAGCCAAATTCCTCACTCTCGTCATCATCTTGTTGTCGGGCCACTCGAGCTCTAATGTGGCCTCTGAACTATCAGGTGTCTCGGCTGAGTATCTTGATCCTCGACCACATCTAGTTTGAACCGGCCAAGGTCCTCGTTTCCTTAAACGGATTAGGTTTCACTCGACATCGCGTTATTCCCTCTGCCGAAGCCTCAATGGCTTGGGGGGTTTTCTTTAAACATCATCCGAGTAGCTCGTCGCAGAAGCCCTACATAAGTCATCCTCATAGAACTTTTCGAAATCTTCAAGAGAGGGTTAACTTCATTTCGGCGTAGCTTCGCATCTCGTGTCAGACTGGATTCTGTATACCTTTCGAAGTGACCATGTTGTTTCGATATCGGCCGCTCCCCTGTGGCTAAATGGTTGAACCGCGAAGCTGCGGTCCTATGGCACCGGGCGAACTTTGAGAGTAAGATCGACTATGGTATAAGGACTATGGTATAAGCACAAATAACCAATGTGTGTTCCTCCCCCGCTCTCTAAAAAAGGCGAGGTAGAACGACACGTACTTACCAGACATCAAATATAGTGAAAATGAAATAATACGCCTAAAGCGTTTCAGAAATCATGTGTTCTCGTAACTCGTCCTCTATGGTATCTAAAATACCGGGGAAAAAAAAGAAATGCAAAGGTAAAAATGAAGAAACAAACGCCGAAAACGCATTGGGTCTCAGTGCATGCATGTCCCATCACCCATTTCCTGCGATAACGCGCCAAGCGCATGCATGTCTATGCTTTGTTCGGTCTCCCCAGAATAACCTCATCGGCCCATTTCTGAATCGGTTCCAACTGAATGCGTTCCCTGACATGGATGAACTCAGTGAGATCAACCTTATGCACGCGCTCATATTCAACCATCTGCAACAGCAGCTCCATCTTGTCAATATCATGCACGAATATGGCCTCGTCAGTCGTGTTCGCCTCGTATTCCTCAAAGATTTCCTTGATTTCCTTGCCCGAAAGGGCGCCTCCAGGGACCTTGCCGAGGAGGGTAGTGGTAATGTAATCCATAACGGAGGCCTCGCGGCGAGCCTTCTCGGGCTTAGTGACGGGGTCGACTGGAGTGATATCGCCGACAAGCGCCTCGGCCATGTCATGGATCAAGGCCATCTTTATGCAGCGCGGGATGTTGATCTTCTCTGCCAGGGACGGCGGGGCCATCATCGTCATGATCGACATGCGGTACATATGGTCAGAGATTGACTCGCCATGATCGATGCCGAAGCGGCGCCAGCCTTCGCGCTTAGTGGTCTTAAGGCGCTCGATCAAGTGGAAGAAGGGGACAGGTGACGTAGAGTTCTCCTCTGGAGGGTAAGGGAGGGTAGAGAGCACTACAGTTATCAGCTTTGCGGGGTCTAAGAAGAGGGGTTTGAGGCTTACCCGTCTCAGGGGTCCATGTAGAGTTGTCGGAGCCCATGGCTGATGTCTTTGGAGAGAGAGAGAATGACTGAGAGAAAGAAAGAAACACAACCAAAGAGGGTAACTGGGAAAAACAAAAAAACAAACTACAACCTTGGAACCAGCGCGGGACTAGTATAGGCTGCAAACAGTGCAAACTTTTGTTATCTATGTTTACTCTCCGGCGCCTGTTTGCTAAAGTCCCCTTGGACACAGGATGGCTGCGACAAGGCCTGTTCGGCCGAAACCCCTGGACTGGCCTGGCCCCTCACATTTGGATGTATTTATTCGCAACCTGAAGCTGTTACATCTAGATCAACGCGAGGATTGGCCCGGTATATCCCTCCGCGCCTTGACCTCAACATCACAGAACCAACGGAACCGAACCCGACTGATAGAATGGGCTCTATACCACCTCTACGCGATTTGGGATCCGGAGACCGCGCAAAATGTACAGTTACTTGATTGCCAGCTTCGAAGTTTCTGAACTTTACTGACATCCCCTGCAGAAACTCCGGCCCTTCTTCCCCCCGTTAGAGCCTCTACAGTCTGTTAACCTCCGCGCGGCCTTGTTTCGGTGTCTGGGCGAATTGAAGAAGAATGGCGATCTGGGAAGGGAGATTATTCTTCGAAAAACCATGCTGGATGATTGCAAGGGCGATAAATTCGAGGAGCTGCTCGCTGGCTTCTCCGCCGCCGTTCTCCGTAGAGTTGTGGCGGTGTCCGCGGACCAGACGCTTTTGAATCCCGCCATGGAGCTTTCGACTACGACCGCCATGACCCTAACCGACTATCAGAATCTCCTACCGCTCATTCTTGCGCACCAAGTATCTCTCGGTTCTGCGGGAGAACGCCATGCCCGAGTTAGAGAGGCGTATGATCGGTTCTCACAGCTGCTAGACGATAAAAAGGTCGAACTGACCGAACGTGCGAATCAAAAATCAAGTAATTGCTTGAATGATACGCAGGACGAGTCGGAGAGCTTGGTGCGTGAGTTACAAACAAACTGGCTGGGCAGCGAAGAATGGGCCACCGCACTGCTCAAAGGTGGATCACAAAGCAGCACTGATGCCTTTCTGGAACTCCCTTTCTCTGCGGCATGGATGCGAGCAAAGGACTCAAATGTAGACAGTCTCGGCGGTGGGTTGAAGCAGGACCTGGTCCTTGATTTGGAGGCTCGGGTTCTACACCAACGAAGTCGACTACGCAAGTGGCATGAATACAACAAGTCCCTCTCAAAGAAAAGAGGCCCCAACGAAATGAGCACAGCCTCGCCTAAAGAACCACGTGTGTTATTCCGGGATCACCAGTCTCTCACAGTTGCTAGTATATCCAAATCCGTTCGCCAACCCGGGGATCGCGGACGGACGTTGAAAGGGCCAGAGAAATATCTCCTATCCTCTGTAAATGAGGCCCTATCCCGTATCAACGGCAAATCCCGCGCCAAGCCTGCAGTTTCCACACCGGAGGTTAAAACGAGCAGCAAACTACAATTCAAAAGCTCCCTGGAAATTGCCAGCTCGCCACCAACAGTGGCTGAAGATCACCACACCCCAGGTCATCCAACAGACTTGGAAACCTCAGGGTTGCAGCAAGAGCCTGATCCCAAGCAGAAGCACAAGCCACATCCAGAACCAGAGTACACCCCCTCCTCCTCTCCCCCAATCGTCCGCCTTCCCCCAGACCTCCCCTCATCAGGCGACGAGCCAGCCCAAGAACCAATCAAACGCACCCACACCTTAGCCGAGCGCACGCGCAGATCCATGTCCCTACTTCCACCCGTAGCCCACGAAGCGCCACGGCCACGCCGCAGACCCCGCTCATCATTCCCGGTCAACCAGTTCGTGACGCCGCGGAAGACCTCCGCGCACTCGACTCGTTCGAGGGGCGAGATCTCACGTGCCTCGACGCCACAGGATCAGCTGTTCGAGGAAGATGCTGAGTATGCGAGTGTCTTTAAGTCGCGGCCGCGTGTGGCTCTCAGTCCTATCTCGTCGCCGGCTGTGCATGTCAGTCCATCTTTTGAGGAAGAGAGCTTTGAATTGGATTATGAGGATGGGGATGAAAGCGAAAGTTGTGAGTGGGGGGATATTGATTCGCCTTTGGCTGCTCCACGATTGAGGGGCTAGGTTGTCAAAGTGTACACATGCACATATATGTACTTAGGGGTTTGTGTACGGAGTAAGCACAGTTCAATTGGCATATTAATAAATCTCCCGCCATGTCATACTTGCATCTTTTTTTTCTACTCGATTGATCAACACCGGGCGATATATTTACCGGCACGATTCAGGGCCTTCAGACGTCCAAATGATATGTAGGAAGCAACACTGTTGTTCAAGTAAACCCTGTGTATGCTGAACCCATATATGAGGAAGCAGTGTAGTTATTTCAATCAATTCACTAAGGTAATAATGATTCTTTTATTCGTTCGATGGGGCTCCTAAGTGACTACATATATAAGCCGAAGGATTCGGTAGAAAAGAAATAACATAAGCCCCAACGGGCACTAGCAGACTCTAACAGGATACTCTAAATTCTCATCTCTTCAATATATAACTAACTAGTTAACTATTTAGGTATTAATTTATTACGAAATAGCAATGGCTCACACGGATGGAGTGGGGGGTCGGGTATAATGTGGATGTTTTGGTCGTCAAACATGAAACGCGCATGTTAGAGATAAATTGGGGACCTCAGTTTCGAGACCTGCAATCTTTGAAAATACTTGCAAGTACTCATAACTAGTTAACTAGTTAGTTAGTTATACACTATCGTCACATAAATACAGCGATATTCAATATATAGAAAAAGAACTTATTTATTAGATCGTAGGAAAAGGAATCCGCGGCCATAATCAAGATCAAGATCCTAAAAAGACCTTGCCACGTTTCGCCAGTATGACAGAGATCAACTCTACAGGAGGCCCTTGCTCAGAATCTAGCGATCTTACTCGTCGGGCGTAAATGCTGTAATGAGCATTCGGCCCTACTTAGGCCCCAATATTTTCATGTCCGAGTGTACGGAGTACAAATTTTGCGGATGTTGTCCATGAAATTAAAAAGAAAATGATAATAAAATAGTAACAAAACGTCTTTCCTTTCGAGGAAGTTCTCCGACATCAACTTCTCCCTCATGGCACTTCCCTCGGACACACTCGTTCACTCCCTTGGTCATAATACCTTGGGAAAGATAGATATCGCTGTTCAATCGGTGCTTTTGGCTATTGTTTTTGTTTCCGTCGGTCTGCGGTTATGGTCACGACCATTGCAGTGGATTTCACTGCAATTGAATGATTTGTTGATTATACTTGCCATGGTAGGGTTATCTATTTGTTTCTTCTCAATCTGTGGCGCTGTGGGTTCCCCGCAATATCCCGACAAGACTAACTATAAGAGTATAGTTCTTTATGGTCGGTCGCTATGTGGTGGAAATCATCATGGTCGTGCTGTGTGGAATGGGGCTGCATTCCACCGAAGTAGCCCAGGTCGGAGGGTCCGAGGTTTTGGTCCAATTCCATCAGGTAGGTCACAACGAGTGGCATATGTTTGAATTAGATCGATTTTATGTTTCCCGGGCTAACCCTACTATCAGCTTACATATGCGGGTGATCTTCTCTGGGTCACGATAATCGCCTTGATCCAGTTGTCAGTTCTCAGCTATTATGTGCACAGATTTGGTCAGCGCACTATTACCTTGCTAGCATATGTCCTTGTGGGTCTATGTTCGTCTCTCTGGATTGCAGGCTTCTTTGCAACTGCGTTCTTCTGTACCCCGCCGAAAAGAATATGGCTTCCCGACACTCCGGGCCATTGCGGTGATCGCGAGATGCTGCATACCGGCGTCATTGCGAGTGAGACAATTCTTAGCTTCTTTATTGTCATTCTTCCTACCCCCTTGATATGGGATATGCCCATGTCGAAGACTAGGAAGACTTCACTGGCGTGTATCCAAGTGCTGGGGCTGGCGTGAGTAATCCGTGGACGTGTGCAGCGAATATACATTACATCCAGTGACTAACCAATAACCCAGCATTGTTACCATTATTGCTATCCGCATGAAAATCGACCTCGACATCGACCCAAAAGACCCAACCTATGGCTCTGCCAGGAAGTCAATACTGTCATGTATCGTGCCTCTCCTGGGAATAATTGTTGCCTGTCTCCCGACTCTGGAGCCAGCCATTCAAAGGATTTTCAGGATATCAGCGCTTCCCTCTCCAGCCCATACATCTATATATGATCCGACGTTTGCGAGATATTGGAAGACGACGGTTCTTTCGGGTAGAGGGATGGAGGAACCGGAGATGCCTCTAGTCAGTCTTGCGCAGCCTTTCGTGGCAAAGATGGGTTATCTTGCTCCTGGGGATATTCAGGTCACTTCTCATTGGGAGATTCATTCGTCGCGAGGTTCGGCGAGGTTTGATAAATCACCCGTACGGCAGGCCTGAGGTTTATATCGAGAAATGCGTGGCTTATACCTTGGGGCTGGTACCCAGAATATAAATATATTAAGCTGATGTCTTTTTTCCTATTCCATGGAAGTACGGTAGGTAGGTAATAAATGCCCTCGGTATAGACCACCCGAGATATAGTTTGCGCTTCCCACTTTCCAGTAGATTTAACGGTTGGCCCCTTTTTTGTTGCTTTCTTTGTGAGTACTGGGGATGTCAAATATATCAAATTTGAACGAAAAGGAGGTGATAAAAAAAAGGTCGGACCTAACTAAGACTTGCAAACGTCTGGAGAATATATATCTCAACTATGAAGACAACTCCAGCATATATAGATTTCCATACATCTTTTCGTTCCTCAAATTCTTTAGTATTACAGTATATACGTATTTACCACACTCAGGTAAAAAAAAAAAAAAGGCTATCCTGTCTTTGAGAATGTACCAAATAAGCCTAGAAAAGTGCGAACCTGTGCACACAATTAGTACATACGCTCAATCTGGAAAGAAGAGGTATGCTTTATATACGCCAGCCGCCTACATCCTTTATACTATCTCGGCCAATTGGCCTAGTGGTAAGGCATCCGTTTCCGGTGCGGGAGATCGTAGGTTCGAATCCTGCATTGGTCGTTAACTTTTTGCTTTTGTCCTCTACAGACATGTGGGACGGACACATTTTTGCATATTTGTTACATACTGCATGGATTAACTGATTGATTGACTTCATTGATGACGAGGGAGTGGAGGGAGAGAGGGGTTAGAGTCACATGCGGTTACATAGTTAGGGCTTGTATGCCAAGTAAGTGACTACCTAGCGATAGCGAGACATGGGCGGACACATATGGGTGTCAGAAATATAGAGGCTGGACCGAGTTAGACAAAGAACAAACACGTAATCAAATTTATATATAACATGCATGCCTCTAGGGCTGTGTATGTATGTACATAGACAGAACCAGTTGCTTTTTGTACTTGCCAGAATGGAATTTGGAACCACTAGTTAGATGGAATGAACATATAAACAAAACATATATATAACCAGCCAGCATTCATTCATTCCCCATGTTAATAATTTATGACATCGATCATGTTCTCAACAACAAATAAATGCTTTTTATATAGTCATTTACTCTTCCTGTTGGTGAATAATTCAATGAATGCGTGCGTGTGTGGTAGTTATGTGTGTGTGTAAATAAGTATGTATTGTATGTACATAAACTTCTCTCTCTCGCCATAATAACTAACTATGAGGAAGAAAAAGGCCCGCCCACCCAGCCCGCCCGCCAGCCACACAAGAACAAAAAGGAATAAACAAGCCCCAGCCGATAAAAAGGAGTACATACATATTTGTTCTCGAGTAACAAAAAGCAAAAAGATAACGACCAATGCAGGATTCGAACCTACGATCTCCCGCACCGGAAACGGATGCCTTACCACTAGGCCAATTGGCCGCCTTGTGTATCTCTTGATCAGAAAAAGGGCACGTGAGTAGAACAGACTTAGCGCGAGCTGTAACCCTAAATAATATACAGACAGCTACCTACATAAGCATGAAGGTATGCATGAGTATTGTTGTCTGCAGGTACCAGGTAAGACTTTAGGTGGGATTGCATTTGCATTGGCATTGAGAGCTACCACCATGAGGGGCAGTAAACAAATGCATGAGATCCTAAGCAGGAGAACTATAAGGTGGACGATGTCTTTCAGGAAGAAACAAACAACCCCTTGAGCAGGGCGTATTGTCCACCACCAATCAATTCCCAGAAAAAAGCCCGCGGGATTAAGGACCCAGGACCGAAGGATCAGTAGTGTAGGTCCGGGACCCTACATTATCTCCCACGATGAGCCAGGATCATCCCTTGCATAGCAGGAAGGTGAAATCATGATCGACGGGGAAATTTGTCGAGACCAAGCATTGGTGCATTCCAGTCAAAGGAGAAAAGAATTCAGCCACCTTATCAGAGCAGCGAAAGAAGCAACCAGATTGGCCGCGAGGGATGTTGATATCGCGGCACGGGCAGCGGAGGAGCAGGACGTGACGACGCCCCTTCATATCCCAGCTATGGCAGAATGTCACCAAGACGATCCGTTCTGAAAAGATTAAAGAAAGTCTGGAATCCCTGCAGGTGGCTCGCATTCTCGCAGACGCTCATTAATACCCCTTCTTGTTTTTTTAATTTACCTCATCCAGCTCCGTCGCTCGCCGACACTTCCTTTCTTTCAGCTCGATACTTGCAATACAGGTCTATACAGCCGACACAATGGTCAAGACTACTTATGCCCTTACGCTCTTTGCGGCCGTCAGCTTGGCGGCTCCCGTTGCTCAGCTGAATGGCCGTGCCGAGAAGCAGGATTCAGTTGAGCACAAGAACCTCATTGAAGATATCCCCATCCTTGGAAAGATGCTCGCAGGGGTATGTGCTTTTTAGTTTCATTGGGAGCCGAGGTACTAGAAGGGGAAAAGAACTAACATCAATCGACCGATAGAAGCAGGATGGCAAGCGCGAAGTGGCTCAGCCTCAGCACCACAACCTCATCGATGAGCTTCCCGTCGTGGGGGATTTCCTTGGCAACGTAAGTCTGGGCTGTGGTTTTGAATACAACTATAGGAGTACTAACCGAAGCCTCCGAATAGAACAAGCAGAACCAGCGCCGAGATGTCGCGGGGGATGGTATCAGTGGTTTGCCAGTCGTCGGAGAATTGTTTGGAAAGGTATATATTTCAAAGAACATTCATTTTAGGGTCGGGATATTAACGGAACTTAGCACACACATGCTGGCGGTCAAAATGGCATGAACAAGCGCCGCGGCTTCGGTCAAAACTATGGCCAGAACGCTGGTCAAAATGAAGGTCAGAACCATGGCCAAAACGCCGGGCAAAATGCCGGGCAAAATGAAGGTCAGAACTATGGCCAGAACGCCGGTCAGAATCGCGGCCAGAACAACGGCCAGAACAACGGCCAGAACAACGGCCAGAACAACGGCCAGAACAACGGCCAGAATGGCGGCAAAAACTGGAAGCGTGGCCTCGAAAACAGCCTCCGCACCATTCCCATCGTCGGGGATCTTTTCGAAAAGGTATGAGGACCAATTCCCAGTCATGGGAACAGCCACTAGAATAAGAGAACGAAGTCTGACACGACATAGAACAAGGATACACCCTCTCACCAGCAGACGGAAACTCCTGCCAAGCACCTCGAGACGCGCCAGGCAGGACATTCCAAGGGTGTCTTCGGTGTGCTGCAGTCTTTGACTAGCGGTAGTGTAAGTTCTTCTCCGACACGAATAATTATACAAGTGTTGATAATCCCACTAGCCCGTTACCAAGAGTCACAAGCGCGATGAGCCGGCCGCCTCCAAGGCCAACGAGGGCCAGCAGGGTAAGCCGAAGGGAGCCGAGAGCCCGGAAGGCAAAGAGAACGAGAGCTCTCGCGGCCTGCTCGGCGAATTAATGAGCGATGAAGGTCTCGGTTCCCTCAAAGGCAACTCTGAACATGGCTTCGGTCTTATCCCCGTACGTGCCACTCACAAACACAAAGCACATCAGTCACCAGGCTAACATTTGTCTAGATACGTCGTGACGCCAAGGAGCTTGAGGCCCGGCAAGCCCCCATCCAGGGATCCACACTCACTGGTGTTCTCCTCGAGGGCGGTGCTGTGGGCAAGGTCTCCAATTTCCTCTCTGGAGGTGCTAAGCCCAAATCCGGTGAGAGCTCCCCCACTGACATGAGTGACGGCTCTACTGCCGGTCCTCCAGACCCTGCGTCTGGTGCTGGTCCTCACTCTGGTCCTGGCTTTGCTGCTCAGCAGCAACAGCAACAGCAACAGGGGTCTGGTGCTGCTTCCGAGTAAGATACAGGAAGGACAGTTGGTTGTGTTTTGTGTATTTCTATCAATCGAACAGATTGGCTTAAGGATGCGTAATCTTATGCTGGGTTGTTGAGTTGTTATTCATTCGGCCAAACAATGTCATATGCTTTCATTGATTCAATAATAAACCGAAGGTTACAGTCCGTAAAACGAAGGCAATTTTGAAGTTCGGACACAGAAACCTGTAGCAAAACTCCGCTATGTAATGAGACAGGCAGACGAAGCTGCAAGGAGCGCACGCAAAGAACCAAAACATCGAAATCGTTAATCGTGGTCAAATCAAAACCGGCTTTTCCGGTCCGGATCACCCAGTTAATGAGCGCCATTGGGTGTGGGGGTATCAGGTCGTTACACGCGATGAAATCAAATACAGCCACTCGAGATGGAACAAAATACTCCGAAAGGCAAAGACAGGCCTAATCAGAGTCATCAAACATGTCCACATCGTCCACTACCACCGTCGTTCCCAACGCCTCCTTTCCTTCCCGGATCATAGCTTGTAGCTGCTTATTCAATCGTTGGATACTGGCATCTTCTTCTCGTTCCTTGCGGCGCATCTTAGCAGCCTGTCGCTGTATATCAGCAGAGGCAGGACTATCCCTCAACCGAGGGGATGGCAGATCCCCCTGTCCCTTCGTAGGCGAGTGGGCTCCGGTAGAAGAGTAAGCGACTCGTTTAGTGAGCCGGGGCATCACGGCAGATTTGCGGCGAGGACTAGATGCCTGGAAAGTGCGTCGTGTGCGGAGTGACGGGCTAGTAGCTAGCTCGCTGCTACCCACGAATGGATCCGAGCTCTCGGGTACCACAACCCAACTTCGGTCGACCTCGTCGTCTGGATATTGGCCAGGTACAGGTGTTGAGCAGAACGTGCCGGGGCTGTACATGTCTTTCTCGGTGGATGGGCTGGTTGAGGGCAGCCAGCTGGATTCGAGGGTTGTTGCTGGGCTGGATGACATGTCGTAGCCCTGTCCTCCTCCTGCGTAGAACCCTCGGAATGCGCCAGTCCAGCATAGATCGAGGACTTTGCTCACAGCTTTGATCACTGTTTGGCCCCAGCCTGTGGGTGTTGTGTTGTTGGGGCCATCAGGGCTTGCGGATATGATGTCAGAGTCACGGCGGCTGCGCTTGCGATTACCGTTGTAGTCTGATAGGTCTGCTGACTCGTCGCAAGAATCGAAGGAGGGTGGGAGGAAGGATTCGCGATATCGGTTTGGACGGTAATCAAGCTCGGCCGAAGCGTGGAAATCGTTGCCTCCGGTTACGCTTACTGAGCGGTAGCTAGGGTGGATCATCGGGGACTCGGTAAAATTGCACTCAAATTGCGATGAAAGTTTTTCTGTGTTACGACGTGGTCGCTTGCGACTGAGTGAGAGAGAATAGAGCGATGTGGAAGCTGTGGAGGTTGGGACTTGGAATAGCTGAGAGGGCGCATTGGAGAGGTCAAGTTTAGGTTGTGAAGCAGAGTTGAAGATAGCGTGCATGTCTGGCATTTTAAAAGAAAAGAAGGGAGTAAGACAGAATAAAGAAGAAAGATCAAAGATCAAAACATCCAAATCGGAGAAAAAAGAAGAAGAAGAGAAGAGTCAAGAAAAAAAAAAGAAAAAGCGAGAGGTTGGATATTTCATGTCAGAGGATTAGTCTTCTCTCTTCCTCTTTGTCTCACACTATTTAACCCCCCCCTACATGATATTCTCATATAACTAACATATATCACATATATCACATTTATCGCATATTGAAATTACAATCGCTGGCTAGTCCATTGTACTCCAGCTGCTTCCAATCCCTCATCACCATCAACTAACACACACCATCCCTCGCCGCCCTGTCCTCCATCTCCCGCAATCACCGCCTCAAAGTGGCCGTGAGCGTATTCCAACACTTGATCGTTAAAGGTACCAGGCTGTAACCAAACTGCAGGGATTCCCACTGAGTGCGCTTCTTCCAGGACCTTGAGGGTCACAGCTGGGGGAGTCACCACTGAGAGGGAAGTCTGCACCGGCGATGGCAAACTGGCGGGTGAGGGGACAGTATCATAAGCACGCGAGGGGAGGGTGATCTGCGCTGCTCGGGGATTGAGTGGTGTCACCGGTAGGGAGTGTTGATGATACCAGGCGAGGACTATAATGATTTAGTTTCTTCAGTTTACTGTACAAATGGCTAACCAAGAGGATGTTCCCCTACTCTTGTATCCGAACTTGTGAGTGTCATTGCTGGCCCCCCGCCACCGCAAAGCGGGGGAAGAGAAGAATCGCTTGACTGCTGCCATGGTAATTTGAATAAATCGAATAAATTGAATGGAATAGAATAAATTGTATCTGGTAGCCAAGTACTCCGTAGGTAATAGCAAATAGTTGGAAAGTTGAAAAGACAAGAAAACAAAGTGCAACCTCGGCCGATGACGACTTTATCTCCCTTCATCACCCATCTCCGACATTCGGCGAACCTCCTTGTTACTTCACGTCTTTCACATTCATTCGTATGCCACCATTTCTCCCTCGAAAACGCGTATCCTCTGAGGACCCGCCCCCGGCCAAGCGCCAGGCCCGGCCCGATAATGCTAAAGCCCTTCCCCAAGCTCCGTTCCACCTCTCCGACTCCGACTCCGATTCCAAATCATCTTTAAGCGACGCACCTGAAGGTCTCCTCAACAAGGACAATGTTCCTCATGAATCTGAGGAATCTGAGGATGAAGAAGAGGATATTGACTGGGAGGATGCGATAGACAATACTAGCGCCACTACACCTACTGTTACAGCCCCGGAGCTACAGGACCTGGAATTGACCCTGGATCAAAATGAGACACACGTGGCCGATCTTCTGGATGGTAAGAAAGGACCTAGTAAGATCGAACGCCAAATCCGGATCCAGACACATTGTATGCATGTTCAATGCTTGCTTTTCCACAACGCTATCCGCAATGCATGGAGCAACGACCCCAAAGTTCACGAGATACTGCGCAAAAACCTACCGGAAGGGATCCACAAGGAAGTCAAGAAATGGCGCATAGCATCGGGCCTAGAACTCCCAGAGCCAAAACCGGAACCGCCCAAGAGTAAGAAGAAAGGCAAAAAGGCCCAGAAGAATAAAGACTGGGGTGAAGAGTCCGGGCGCCTGGAACCAGGCCAGCCGGATATGAGCCGTGGCGATCCAATCATTATCCTGCTCAAGGTACTGGTCGCATACTGGAGGAAGCAGTTTCACATCACAGCACCAGGACTGCGAAAGTATGGATACCGACCGGTATCTGCTCTTGAGACTGCAATCACCGACTTTCGCGAGGAAGAACATGACCCAGAGCGGCATGGTGAGCGTATCGCCACACTTGACGAATTTCGCGCGGTCGCCGAGCGTATGCAGGGCTCGCGGGATGTTGGCGCGCAGCTGTTCACGGCTCTCGTCCGTGCTCTAGGCATTGAGGCTAGACTCGTGGCTAGTTTACAGCCGCTGGGTTTTGGTTGGACCAAGGGAGAAACCTACACACCTCTCACACCTTCCAAGGCAGATAAGGACCCCGATAATGAAGGGGAGTCGGAAGCATCCGAGCCTGAGACTGACGCAGCTGAAAATAAACCAGCGAAGAACAAGCGAAAACACTTTGACGAGGATCTACCATTTCCTATTTACTGGACCGAAGTTGCCTCACCCATCACGAATGAGATAATATCTGTCGACCCGCTTGTACTTTCCAACCCCGTGGCGCCATTTGCAGATACCGACCTACAAGCAAACTTCGAGCCACGCGGCGCAAAAGCAGACCGGGCCAAACAAGTCATATGCTACGTTGTCGCCCACTCGTCAGATGGCACTGCCAAAGAGGTCACAACAAGATACCTTCGACGGCGGACCTGGCCCGGGAAAACGAAGGGCCTCCGAATGCCTTTGGAAAAAGTACCCGTAGGTCCACGCGGGCACTACATCGCCTTCGACTGGTTCGGGATGGTAATGCGCGGGTACCAACGAGCTCGAAAGAGCAAAACAGCAGTCGACAAACTCGAAGAAACTCGAGATTTACAACCTAACCAACCCGAAAAGAAGAAAACAACGCAAACCGCCGACACTCTGCAAAGCCTCCGAACTTCCACCGAGTTCGTCCTGGAACGCTTCCTGCGCCGTGAAGAAGCCCTCCGGCCCGGCGCGGAACCCGTCCGAACCTTCATCGCCGGAAAAGGCGCCCGCGCTAAAGAAGAACCCGTCTTCCGACGAGCAGACGTGCTAAAATGCCTTTCCGCCGAAAGTTGGCACAAAGAAGGCCGCCAGACAAAACCAGGCGCCGTAGCTCTCAAGCGCGTACCCATCCGCGCCGTGACGCTCATACGTAAACGCGAAGTCGACGAACTGCACCGCCAGACCGGCGAGAAGCCCCTGCAAGGTCTATACGCGCGTGACCAGACGGAGTACATCGTCCCGCCACCCATTCAGGACGGCCACATCCCCAAGAACGAATATGGTAATATCGACTGTTTCGTGTCGAGTATGGTTCCCGCAGGCGCGGCGCATGTCCCCTTGCCTGGTACCGTCCGGGTATGTAAGAAGCTCGGCATTGACTACGCGGAGGCAGTGACGGGGTTCGAGTTTGGATCGAAGATGGCTGTGCCGGTTATTCAGGGTGTTGTTGTTGCGGCTGAGAATGAGGATCTACTTCGGGATGCTTGGAGGGTTGAGGCTGCGGAGAAGAGGAAGAGGGAAGAGCTTAAGGCGGAGAAGAAGATTCTGCAGACATGGAGGAAGTTTTTGTTTGGGTTACGGATTATGGAGCGGGTTAGGGATGAGTATGGGGGTGGAGATCCGGATGCTGATCGGGAGCGGGATTCGCATAACCCCTTCGCTGCACAGAAGAAGAAACAGGAGGAGGAATCGGATGATGATGGTGTTGATGAAGAAATGCCTGATCGGGAATCGTCATATAATGCGATTGATCATGGTGGTGGCTTTCTTCTTCCTGGACATGAAGATGATGCGGACGATGGGTTGATTGTCGAGCACCATGATCAGCAGCGGAGCCATGCAGGTCCGTCTCATACTGATGCTGATGACCCTGATGACCCTGATGACAATGAGCCATTCGAATCTGGATCTCCTGCTGCAAACTCCCCGCCTGTGTCTATTTCTTCGGATTCGGATGACGAGGTGGATAATGGCAAGGGTGATGACTCAGAACCTGAATACGCACCTCGCCCGACACGCCGAATGCGAGGCCAAGGTCGTTAAGGGAATGAATGTACCATCCATATGACTGTGTATTTTGTTACCAATGCCAGCAGTCCCTTCCGCCAAGTAAAATTGTTTGTAAATCCAGCATATAAACATCACTTATATCCATTCGAAGAAGGCACATGTAGTGCTGTGTAAGCATGAATGACTATGATACTGCCAAGATTGTCAGTTTGTAGTTCAAATGGAACATTTTTATAGCCAAGACATTTAGGCCTTCGGGGTCGAGAGAATCTGATATCGGTTGGCCTCACCTTTGCTGCTGATTCTCTATTCTCGTGAACAACCTGGGCGTTGTATCAATATTTTGCATGTTCCAAGGATGAGTGACGACTATGTAGTATTATTCTTTTTAAACAGCTTACCCATATATCTCTTTTCGAACCATGACTCTGTTATTCGTCAAGTTTGTAGAATATGTATATATATCATTGGGTTAGGAAACATTCCACAACACTATTGAATACAAGCTCGGCGCGAAGTGTAAGGCCAAACCTATCAGAAAAAATCTTTAACTATTGTGACGGCGTATACAACAAAATCCAGCCGAGGACATATTTAAACATCCCTGTGTGATCTACCCATTTACTATAGTTGAGAGACAAGCGCAAACCGTCTCATTTAGAAAGACGTAGCCGAGGCAGATGGGGCAGCACCGCTGGAGGAACCGCCAGGAGGAGAACCACCACCACCACCCATACCAGGACCGGAATTCTCATTCTCAACACCACCCTGCTCAGTGTAATAAGCTGCGGGGGAAACACTGGAGTCGACGGTCGGGTCCATACCAACTGAGATCCAAGCGAAGATTCCATCGGAGATATCATCGCCCAGATACACGTATTCCATGAACGGGTCAATGGTATCGAGCTCTTCGCCGAGAATGCTGTCATCGGAGTTGAGGGTGATCTCCTGTGTGTTGGTTGAGTACGGGGAAACCTCATCAGCGGCGGAAATAAGATCCTGGTCGAAGAAGATCTGCCCAACGTGCGACGAGTGCGACGAGTATAGACCGGAAAGGGTTCCGTTTGCGAGGACCTGGGTCTCGTTGGCTGGGTGGGTGAGGACTATTGATGAAGTTAGTACATATTGGTATGGTTTAGATTGGTAGAATTTGGGAAAGGCCATCCATGCAACGGAAAAAGAAACAGCAACGAAAAAAAATGACAATAACCATGAAGGGAAAATTCCGTATCTGGGTATCATACCGTGGATGTGAGTTGCGCGGCCGGTGTAATGACCTGGGAAGTTGGTTTGCATCTGGACAACACCCTCC